CCCACGTAATGTATGTGAGCTTCCAAAACTGCCTTTTAGTACTTTATAGTGGTACAGCATCTTGTTTGCAGACGCTCTGGTTGAGAGCAACTGATGGAAGGGGGAAGGGACCCATAGCTGACTGACCTAATTGCTGTGGGGATTGAGAAGCTGGCAAAATCATTAGTTTCTTTTATATGTTTTCCTTCTAGACTATAATAAAGATAAATATTGATTGCTAGAGCAATATTGATTGTAGGGGTCACTGCAGATGGCAGCTGCATGATTTGCACAAATATCTTCCATGTACAGCGCTGCTTATTTGCATGAGAATGCAGTTTCACCATCCTCATGTGTTGCAGACTGTTCACTTGTCTTATAGGAGCATTTACCCAAATTATATATATTAGTGATGAGCAGTAAAATATGAAACAAAAGACTAAACCAGTTCATCTTCTTAATACATTTTGTGCGTGTGTCTGTTTGCTGTAGGTAAGTGGAGTTTATTGTCCCAGCCATGTGGAAAGAAGAGCAGGACGCTGCTGTAATTATGCTGCGACGTCAGCACCTCACTTGGGAATACCACCCAGCTGCACAGCACGCCTGAGACCGATGCTCCTTCCTTCACCCACTGACCTAGACACTGAGCATGCCGAGCCCCTTCATCCAGGCCTGGATGCCTTCATCCAAGCTCCCAGCTTTGGGTCATCTGAGACACGGTGTCCCCACGGAACGGCTTCAGCATCTTCTCCTGAGCTGAGCCTGCCCAGTGGGATCCTTGTCCACTTGCAAGAAATGGAAAAGGCCCCTCCAGCGTGGGCCAGGCTCGTGAGGAGGGAGGAAAGTTGCCTACCACAAGCACGGTGCTTATTGTAGAGCACAAACCCCTACGCTCAGCCACGGAGGTGGCCTTGGGGTGTGTAGGACCGAGTTGTGGGAAGCAGCAGGGGTATTTATGCCCCTTTTTATCCGTGGTGCTAATCCCTGAGTGGCCTGTTCAAGGTCAGGCACCTCCTGTCAGGGATACTGCTGCCTTTCTCCTCCACCTGCAGCCTCCAGGAGGGAGGAAGGGGAAGGCAGAGGAGCAATCTGCAGAGATGGCTTCCTCACCTCCTCGGACACTGGCAGGCTGCAGGGGAAGCACTCTCTCCTGAGCGTGTTATACATATCTGCGTGTCTGTCTTACAGCTAGCAAACTGCATCTTATTCTGGGCAATGCTGCACTTTGAGACTGCTGCTGGCTGACCTGCTGATATTGAAATTCAAAAGAAAAGCATGCATATTTAACCCCAATTCATCATTTTGATTTTGATTAACTCTACAAGTCAGAGGTTTGCAGGCTTTAATCTTGTTTTAAGAAAATACTCCCGTCCTCTCTTCTCAGCGTTTTCCAACAGGAAATTCGACAGAAGGGTTTTTCCTATTATTTATCTCCTTCCACTTACTTGGACACATCGTGGACCTCTGAAATAGCTGCCCAGTATCTATCCCAGCCATGGCTTGTCCAGTGTAAAGAGTGCTCTCATTTCCTCAGTGGCCCATAAGGAGGAGATTAATACTGGAATCCAGGTTTCTGACGTGGTTATGCACTGACACTAAGCCACTTTAGCAGATGAGCAGGCACTCCATTTGGTGACTACTATTTATATACAGTCAGTGAGTATTTCATAGATGCTTTTTGGAAGATCTTAGAAACACACCATGGTTCAGAATGTTATGCTTCATTCTTCATTTCCTTTTAAGTATATCTCTCGGGGTGTTATGTTGAGTAGCCCTGTCTTACAAAATCAATTATTCCTTAGCCAGCTCAGAAATAAAACCCAAAGTAAGCAACACCAAATGTCTGATTTACCAATAGATTGCAATCCAGTGCTAAAGAGCATAGCCACTGCCCTGCTTTAAATATTCATGAAGCCCACTGGTGCAAAATGCATTAAAGGTGGGAATAATGCCAGTAATACACGATCCTCTTAGTGACAAGAAGCTTTCACATATTAAAGTAGCAAGATGTTAAAGACTTTCAACTGAACAGTCTTTGTTTTTAACCTAGAGAAAGAGATTCACTAATGCAATGCCAAATTGCATTCACTCTCGTGATATTAGACTGCAGAATCGGATAATAATACATTTGTGCTTTACCATGCTGTGGAAAACCTGTTATTACAGTGGGTTCTTTTCTGCCTTTTCTTTGTACTTTCCAGAAAATGTTCGCACACATATCTTACCCCTTTGAGTAGTCTTCTATATGACAAACCCTCTACCAGAATCCCAGGAGTCTAGCCATTAACAGATTGGTTTTACGCAAATAAGAAGATTTAAAAATAATAGTGACATAGTACAATAGCACAATTTAGCTGAGTGACAACTGGCAATGAATAACCAAAAAAGAAAAAAAAAAGAAAAAAAAAGAAAGGGTTAAACCAGAGACAAGGGACTGCAAAATAACAGACTGTGGCAATGCAGAATAATGTTAATTGTCGCTTTAAATCATCAGCAGCCCAACCACATCTGCTATCACACCTGTGCTCTCTTCTCTGATCTTCTCTGGCACCCTAGAAATATTAGGCGAACAGCCAGCCTCGTATCTCCAGCTCTTTGTGGTGTGTCTCTGCTACCAGCTTGCATCTCTCTTACCTGGAATGGATCAGGCACTGACTCCGCACCCTCAAAGTGCTTCTGATTGATAGGGGACACTGCCAGTGCTGGGCTTGTCACCCTGTTACAACAGGTCCCGGGGCCACTGGGACCCACTGACCCCATTTGGATTTTACAAACCTCATCAGTCAGGTGACATAGCTAAAGGATCCCTGCTTACATCTGAAATTTGATCCACATAAAAATAGCGATCAAATAATAAACTAAAATTTCTTTTCCCACTTAATCTAAGGACATTTTCTGCACACCAAATCTTGGCAGGAGGAGTGGGGGAATATGTCTTTCTGGTGCCAAACATGGAAATTCAATTAACGTACATTTGAAAGAGGGATCTAGGTCCCTCATACATAGCCTTCTTTTATTCTAGAAATAAGAATAACAAAGAGCTACCAGCCAGAAGGCTCATTTTTCAGAAAGACATTTATCCAAGACTAATCAGGGGGCAGGGACAGGAAAACAGGGCTCTGTTACGGCATATGAAGTTGTTTACTTCAAAGCAGACCTTTAACAGGCTTTACATGGTCTTTGTACTTCTGGTTGGAAATCTGCTTTCCTGCCTTTTAACAGTTTGTCTGGTAGCATCTTCCCAGTAAATGCCCTTCCTTGCTTCCCGCCCCGAGAAGCATCTTCCCCTGCAGAAAGACCGCCTGTCAATAAAGATTGAGAAGTTCAGCTCCTGCAGTCATTACGCTGCTCCGTATAAGCCAAGTTGTTTCAAAGGGGAAGAATTAGATAGTGCAAAAGCTGCAGTAGGAACATTACTGGGGTAAGTTGGATCAGGCTATTTTAGCTAGCTATTTCGGGAAAAAAATAAACACAGCTACTCAGTGCTTATGATTAATAATGTTATCTTGTAGCTAATTTTATTCCTTGCCCCTCTCTTCTCCTGCCTTCCAATTTGGAAGTGCACTTAATTATGAAAACACGAGCACTAGACTGTGAATTTTGATATATTAATTTTAGCATGGTTTTGTTTCTACACTGCACCACCAAAACTCTCAAGGACAACCGGTCAAGGAGACAATGAAAACCCTGACACCTTGGGTAATTTTCTTAAGCAAAGTCAAAATTAAGCAATTTCTTCCATACAAATCTCATTACATTACTGCAAACCTACAACCATGATGCATCTTGCTCCTGTTTTTCAACACCACAATTTCTTTTGATGATTGGAGCCAGAGCAAAGCCTCTGTGGTTTGTTTACTTGGTGGTTTTTAAAGACTAGGACTGGAGGTTATTAAAAACCTGGAAAGTGAAAACCAAAACAAGCACAAAAGGGTGACCATGACCATATTCCTAAGCTTCTTCATTGACCAGCAGAAATGTTCATAATTTCATGCCTGACCAACAGTGCATTGATGCCTTGCCTGGAGGAGGTCAGCTGCCCAACACTGGGCCCAATTATCATGTTCACCATTCATTCATTCACTCATTGACTCCTGTCTGCTCCATTCCTACCATCCAAGTTAGAGTTCGGGCAGTATTGCTTTATTGACATCTCACTGCCCAAGCTCTGTATCCATCCTTTAGCTACCCCCAGCCCACAGCTTCAGAAGCATCAGCCAGACAACAGCTCTAACATTTGCATGATTATTTTGTTGTCTCTCTAAATTTGTATTAATTACTTAGATAGAAATATGAGGCTTGGCATTAAGGCAGTGTTAGAAGTACAGCTCTGTGAATAGTGGCTTTTTTGATCTATTGGCTGTTCCAAAATCACAATGAAATGATTAAAGTTGGCTTAATACATATTTGTGTAGTTTCTAGGCAAAATGAAAAAAAATTCTGAGTAGATAGAATGATTCCCTTTCAGTTTATGTGGTTAAGGTTTAATAATAAAAAAACCCTGAATACTTTTGAAACCTCTTTTAAAAAATAAAAAAATAATCAATTTCCATTCAGAAAGTGTCTAAATGCACACTCTAATTATTCCAAACATTTGAGGGTTAGGTCTTCAACTCCAGCAACTAGGAAAAAGCCAGACAGATTTCCCAGCATTTCTAATGCCACACATGAATTAACATGATGATACTTTTTAACTGGAAAAGCTTTAGGTCAGTTATTTTTCCCAATTCTATTTTTACCAAAGTATAAAGCTGTGAAACCCCAGATGGAATAACATAAGTTATAACAGCAACAAAATGGATAACTGCATTTCTAGACTTTGTCTAAATTGTGCATGTTCCAAAATTATAAGCCAGACTGGTTTATACATTTTTTCAGAGTAATAACCACCTCAATCACTGTGCGATGAATCTCTGGGTGCAGAAAATTGAATATGTAATATTTGTAATGCTTTCTAAACCACAGTACCTTTAAATAATACAACATTCATTAAAACAGAAGAGTAGACCAAATTACTGTACCAAACATCCTCTGCATCTTCGTCACACTCTGCCCCAAACTGGCAAATGTCACAGGTCGATGTCTCTTTTTGATTGGTTTCACCTGAGCCTTCATTGACTGTTTGATGGAAAGCAGAAGAATATACATTAGTAAAGACAGCACTGTAGCAAAGCACTTCTCTCTCTCTAGAAAAATCTATTCACCACGTCAGCTTAACGTGCTGCTCCCAGAGCCGACGCCTGGCCAACAGACAGCATTTTTGAGTGGGGCCAACACAGAGATTTCCATGTTGGTCAGTGATAAATTCACTGAATTATGTATGGAGTTAAAAGGGAAACTGGAGAAAGACCCTTCCTCCTCCTTTTCCACTTAAACAATGATCCCGTTCAAGCTGCAGCCCGGGCAGGTTGTGTCACCACCAAGCCCCACTGCTTTGTTCCCTGGGAAAATAATGGAGGTGTATTGATAGCATCGATGCTGCCTTGTGTCCTTTACTGGTGAAGGCCTTGAGATGGACCAAAGGGGTTGCTTTCCTCGAAAATGTTTTGGAATTACCTGCCGTGTGGTGCAATCCAGACCATTTCAAAGGCAAAACATTTTTCTCTTCAGAAGTACAGTTATGAGCCCCAAGGATTAGTTATCTCTGGCAGGAAAGATTGAGTGCTGTCCAGAGGAGGGGATGATCTTCAGCATAGGTTAAATTTGAAACCCAGGAAAGTCAACACCCTTGTCTGCAATTGTGTAAGGTTTGTAACTGAGCCTTAAGTCAAAAACATGAAGGGACTGAGGGGAAAATAAAAATATGGATACAAGGCGACTGTGAAAAAATGTTGAAGACTGAGTACTGAAAGAGAGAGAGAGACCACTAAGGTAGGCACCAAGAAGAGGGTTTGTTAAAAGATCCCAAACATACATCATCTACATTTATATTAAACTATATACGCATCTTCTGATATCTTTCAATAGGTGCTCCTTTCTAGCAAGACACAGTACCTAGTGATACCCTTCTGCCAGTTACAGACTAATTAAACCAACCCAGATTTTAAGTATCAATCAGTTGTGACTGATGTTACCTGCATAAACAGCCTCTGCAGTGTCATCCTCCCCGTTGGAGCCAGCGCTGCGGTGCAGGCTTACTGCACGCTTGAGTCCAGCCTGCCAAGGCTGGTGGACAAGCTGAAGAGCCCCACGGACACTGATGGGACAAATTACCTGCCTGATCTTGTGCATCCACTGCATGAGACCCCATTAACCTGGGTGTTACTGCAGGCTCTTGGGTTGGAGCGCTCTGACTTTGAATATGCTGCTTTTGTTATTTACTCAAGAAAGAAGAGTCCCAAGCTTTCACAAAGCTGTTGGAGGAGAAAGGGCTTTTGCCCCTAAAAGAGAAAGTGTGACCCCAATGCCTGCTTTCTTACCCCGGACAAGTTATTTAACCTCTGTTCTGTTTCCCACTGTGTAAAATGGGAATAATACCACTTTCTACCAACAAAGAACATGGAAACAAGTTTATTAAAAGTCATGATATGCCTAGATACAACAGTGATACAGACTTCAGAAATACCTAAGGTAGATCGTTTGTCTCAGAAGCCTTTCTCTGAGTCAAATACAGTCAAAGAAAGTGTTGGTATGTTGAGCTATACTGCAGCAATTTATCGGTCTTGCTTGAATTTAGACTAGATTAAAATGAAAAAGAATTACCTATGATGAGTATTCTGATGATCCTAAAAGGAAAAAAAAAGGTGTTTGCCCTATTTGTAGAACTTTGCTCACCTTTACATCCACAAAGTTCATGTACAAAAAAACCAAAGGGGAAACTCAGAAAACATAGTCTGGATTTTTGTTCTACTGCATTGTCAGATTTTGTAGGGAGGGTCTGAGCTGTGTTTTTTCTGTTTCCCTAAATGACTGAGGAACTCTTTAGGCTCATATTTTATAAGACCCAACATACAAAGGTGGACAGGGTGCCAAGGACACTACTGGCATCTCCATGTGCCGTGTGTGTGATCCTGACCCAACAGCACCGGGAGCCTCATGCTGCTGTACAGTTCCTCCCCACTTCTCTGCAGCTGCAGCCCGGCCTGAGTTTTTCACCAAATTTCATTTATATTTTAAATTTAGAAGGTTGTTTTTTTGTTTTTTTCCTGAAGAGATAACTTTGACAGCCAATCTTGGCAGGGAATTTCTAGTGGTTAAGATATTAGACAGGACACATGATCTGGATTTATCAAGTCACACTGCTTTGCTGTGCCACAGTTTCACCATCTGTGAAAGGGGAACGGAATATTTGGCAGATACTTTGGGAGCTGTAATGAATGACTGTACGCAAAGCATGATGGGACCTATGGTCAGAAGATTTCTTATGACAGCCGAGCACTCCTCACCTACCAGGAATATAAAAATTGCTCCAGTTCAGGAGGGTGAAAACATATTTTTTATGGAAAAGAGCTATACTTTTATATTTGGTTATTCTGCAAATCACTTTCCCTATATTTCCTTCTAGTTAAAAACATATGCCCTATTTTTTTTACTCCCTGTAATGTTTCTATTACACCAGCAGGTGTGGTTTGACCAGGGATTTCACACAGTTCCATATCACAAGCTGAGTAAAACAACTACTTAAGTCATTAAAGGAAGGCATTTGAAAGATTGAGCATGTTGAAAAGAACTAACTGATTTAGCGAGGAACATCCACATTAAGGCACAATGCAGTTCTTAATTTCTACTAGAAAATAATAGGTTACTCTTTCATATTTTTCTGAAGAAGCTCTGCATCCAGTGTTCGATAATCAATGTGCACATTGTCATTAAATGCCTGAGCATGCAGTGGTCTTGATTAAAAAATACAGCTGTTTATCTCTCTGTCTCTCTCTCTCCTTCTGTTTTCAGTAACCACAGATAATATTATTCTTTACATTTCCTTAAGGTGTGTTTTGTCTCCCTAGACAAACACACACACTGACATGTGCACCCACTCCCAGGACTGACACACGCAGAGGCTTGTTTTCTTCATGCTGTGCAGATAAGTGCTTTGATAAATGTGGACATCTTAGAAAGATTTTTTTTCCCAAGTTTTCCTGCTGCTTTTTAGCTTGAGGACTAGTGGATGCTCATTTTCTAAGGTGACTCTTTTTTCTTTTTTTTTCCTCGCTGCACTTACTGATTTGCACTTGCTTTCATATCTCAACTGAAAAAAAAATGTTAGCAGAAATAATCTAGTTTCTGAATTCCTCTTCTAAAAATAAAAGGAGTACGATTCTCTTTTTCTCATGCACGTTACATAGTTCCCATATTAGCAACTGTTGAGGCTTAACACCAAGACCCTGTAGGAACATAGTAGGGCTCCAGGGAGGCTAATCGCTGAAGCCCACCGCTTATTACTCACACAACTAAGAAATGTTAAGCTGCAAATTCCTATTTGTATTAGCAAGATTAGCAATTTCCAGAGTTCAAGGAAATGTGCTAACAGTGGTTAGAAGGTCACTAACATTATCTGAAAGTCACTTCAGAGGCTATCTCAGTCTCCTAAGCAATATAAATTCTTTAGCTGGGAAGGCACTACACACAATTTACAGAGTCAATGGACTGTGGGAACCACAACAGCCCCTGTTTTAATCATTTGGTCCTTTCCTGGCCTTCTCACTGCACTCACATCAGATAGTTGTGACTTCAAGAGTATTTGTATTGCTTGCAAGTTGAGGGACATTTTGGAGACATTTTACTTTGTTTCCATAGCTGAAAAAACAGACTGAAAGTAACATCAGTAGATTGCTCTGATTCTGTGCTTATCTCCTGCAATATCAGTAGAAAACCAAAAGCTCCAAACTGTCCCCTGGTATAGACACATCTACTTTCTCTTTAAACTTCAGCCTCTTTGAGTCAAGAGTCCTCTGTAGGTGCTAGAACCCCAGCAAATCATGCTATGACATTATTCCCACAGCTTCCCAGACTCAGGCTCTACTAAGAGTTGATGACTGGTGGTTTAGCCATTTTAGCAAATGGACATCAAAATCTCTGTGGTCAAGCTTCTGGATAACTTGCTCGGTGTCTTCCAGAGATGCCTGACAAGCATCAAAGGCAGGATGGAAATAAAGTCTTTGCAATTTCCAGAAAAGCAGCTCCAATGGGATGGATAGAAATATGCACAGCAGCTCACAGTTTTGATCTGATATACAAAGCATCACCTATTTTCTAAGTGACACAAGGGATATGCAGATAACTCACTTGCTGGACCATACTGTGAGGAGCAAATGGAAGTGGAAAGAGGAGCTGGTGAGCCATAAGGGAGAGAGAGAATTAGGTGGCAACATTGGCTAAACACAAATCTCTCAGTCTTTCTTCACTAACATGCCTCTAAAGGCAACAGAGCAAACTCAGGAGAGTCTTAGTTCAGTTTTCATGGGGCTTTGTAGGACTAACACAATTATGATAATCCTTATTCAATATATTTTAACTATACTGGAGAACACAACAAAGAAACAGCATAAAACATCATCACCACACACCTGAATATACAGAAATATGACTATAATGATTTGTTATGTTTGTTTTTGTGTTATGCAGTCGTCCTTTGATTGCTGTGATCAGATGCGTGCTCATTGCAATCCCTGATTCTGACTTGACTCCTCATGGTGGGACACCTTTGCTATTGTTGAAAGAAGAACTTCAAAAAAAGCTTGCTCTAGCTCATTTTAACAAGATATACGCTTGTACTTGTTTTTAGCTATAAAATCTAGGTAATAACAAAAATCATGAGGAGATGAGGGTTGATGGCCATTTTTGTATTTTGGAATGAAAGACAATGTGTAAATTAAAATATGGAGGAAGAGACAAATGCTCTTCAGAGCAGCTGAGGTGATCCCGCCACATGCTTCAGTCCTAACACGTGACAAGGTGAGTGGATGAAGTGAGAAAGCTCAGAAAAACCAGGGCAGAGAAGCCAGTGGAATTTACCAAATGTGTTAGAACAAACACTACCTGCACCTCTACCAAATGGCTAAAAACACCTCACAAACTTGGCCAATAAAAGCCCAGATGCTGCAAGCGACTTCCTTCTAATCAATAAGTCTTTTTTCCTGAAAGCATTAGCTCAGTCAAAACCTGCAAAGTGTGAAAAA